TTCTGCAGCCATGTTGTTACTATAAGGAAAATGCTAAAATCCCTACAGATGCTCATCCTTACTTCATTGATCCCCTGAATCAACCAATCCCAGACTTTTCATTAGGCTGGGATAGTTCAGTTTGTTACCTGTAGCCAAAATTCACTCCTAACTGATAGGGGTACTGTTTCTCAACAGTCCATAATGATACCAAAAGTTAACCATGATGATACCAAAAGTTAACAACGTGTTAACATTTGCAAAGCACTTCCCACAATATCTGGCACCATATAAGAAAGTGCTATGTAAATGTTTGCTAAATAAATACAATCAGGTACCTGGCTGGCTCAGACAGTTAAGCGTCAGACTTCGGCTTGGGTCATGATCTCAGAGGTTCGTGGGTTCAAGCCCTGTGTCTAACTCTGTGCTGATGGGGTAAAGCCTGCTTGGGATTCTCTCTCCGCCCCTCCCCTGCTTGTGTGAGCACACACGCATGCACTCTCTCTCTCTCTCTCTCTCTCTCAGAATAAATAAAACTTAAAAACATATAAAAAAGATACACAATCAATGAATGAGTTTCTAATAGGACTACCTTTATTTTTATTTTTAAAATTTTCTTTGCCTCATCATAAGGAAACTCATGTTAACAGAAAATTGGGAAGAGACGAAGCAGAAGGAAAATCACTCACAATCGTTCCACCTCTGGGTACCATGAACATTACAAAACATTTTCTTCCATTCATTAACGCTTAAAAATTAAGATCATAATGTACTGTAAAATTGGTCTTTTCCCCACATAATATCACATAAGCGTTATGGCTAGATCCCTAAAGTTTTTATAAATCTTATTATTTAATAGCACACGATCATATGTTATCCATGCATCATAACCTCAGTACTTACAAGGTCTTTATATTATTTCTAATTTTCCTCAAGTCTAAATCCTATGAAAACTACCTTTGTGCATATGTGGTTGGTATATATGCATCATAACTTTCTGAAAATTTATAAATATTTCCATTATGTTCCATTTTCCCCCAAGTTGAGCAAAGGCAAGTAACCTCTGTGTGGAAATACAATTTGGTTGACTTGTTAAAGACACAGCCTCCGGGCTGTGCTGTCACTTTTTTTATTTTATTTTACTTTTTTTTAGGTTTATTTATTTATTTTGAAAGAGAGAGAAAGAGAGCACATAAACGGCAGAGGGGAAGAGAAAGGGGGAGAACAGAGAATCCCAAGCAGGCTCCACGCTGTCAGTGCAGAGCCCGATGTGGGGCTCGAACTCACAAATCGTGAGATCAAGACCTGAGCTGAAGTCAAGATCTGGACACCCAACCGACTGAGCCACCCAGGCACCCCTGTGTTGCCACGTTGTATAAGCCGTCTGGCAGAGTTCCGTGTGCACTTAAGTACATCAAAGTCGATGGATGGAAGAAACGAAGCCTTTCCTATTCCTCTGGAACACTGCCTCCCTGTCGCTGAGGTGCCCATGAGACTAACAGGGAAACAAGGAACCAGGAAATGAAGTGATTTGCATCCATGAGGATTCCTTAATGATCGAACAAGACTGATACCCAGTATGGAAGGGTCTTAACAACAATGGCTCCAGGATGTGGCCAAGTGTACAGGTCATGACCGAGACTTGCCTTAGAATCCAGACACTACGATTTACAGTGACTCGGGCTTCGTCTCTCTCGTCTGTAAAATGGGAAGTTTCTGTTGCAGAGGAAGGTGCCAAGGATTAACCGAGATCGTGCTTGTAAAAGGCCAGCACAGGGTCTCCATCCCCCGGCAGGAGTCTGGTGGTGCACTAAGTTACCCCATTTGAATGTGAGGGTATCCCCCTCTGAAAACTTGGGACTGATAAAATATACCTAACCTCCTGCATTTGTAGTGAGAATTAACAGACCAGATAAAAAACACTGGGCACGGGTACAAGCTTTTAACAGCAACGAGAAAGAACCCCTTTATCTTCACTCCGTACTCCAAATCTGTCTCGGTATCAGAAAAATCTGGGGGTGTGTGTGTGTGGGGGGGTGTTAAACATGGACACATCTGAGCCCCACTTTGGAGATACTGAGTCATAATGGAGGTGGGCGCAGAAGGGGCTGGTGTTTAGAGAAATCTGGGCTTTTCACAAGTTATGCAAGGAATACCCAGCCAAGTTTGGGAGGCAATGTCTTCAAAGCAGCTAAGAGAAGCGCTTACTATGCGCCCGGTATCTGCAACCCCCTGTGCCAGAGGTGGGTTCTCTAGGCTGTGTGCGTCCGAAGCGTTCAGGGTAAGGCCAAGGATCCCCTCCCCCACGTCCCCCATCTCATGGGTGGGGCCCAGGGAGCTTTTTTTTCTTTTCTCTTTTTTTTTAAAATAAGCGCTCGCGCTCCCAGGTGGCTGGTTTGCGCTCAGGCTCCGGACCCCACTTTGGGAAACAATGCAGCGGGAGAAATGAGGTACGTGAATCAGGCTGCTGTCCTCGTCAGGCAAATTCAAATGAATCCCAAACTCAAAGAAAGCGACCACCGCCCCATTCCCCATTCAGATCTCCACCTTTCATGCGTAAAAGGCTTTGCAGTGCCGCGGCCAGCCCAGCCCGCCAGACCTCATGCAACCCTCGGATCCCCAGACTTCAATGATTTTTGAGCCGCCAAGGCAGAAGTTTTTCCCATCAGCGTAATCGCAGTTACCCCCCAAACCCCCCAAACTCCGCCCGGAGGGGGGCGGGGAATACCCCGAGGGGGTGGCGATTGTCTGAACGGCGTGCCCTCCCCCACCGTTCCTTTGCAAGGGGTCTCGCCAGGCTGGAGAGCGCCCCCCGCCTTCCACTGGCTTGGGTGCCCCCATCCCAAGCCCACTCCGGCGCCCCCTGCCCGGCGCGCCCGCCGCGGTGCCCGAGACGCCGGCTCCGGGCCGTCACCCCGATTTCGGGGCCCCGGGCCTGCTCGCTGCGTCGCAGACGTGCTTGGGCCCGGGCCCCGGAGCGCGCACTGGGCCCCGGAGCGCGCACTGCGCCCGGAAAAGCACTTACTTTGCACCGAGCCCGGGAAGCTCTCGCCCTCGCTGGTCGCGTTCATGGCCGCAGACTGGGAGGTCCCCGGCCGGCCGGGGTGCCAGGGCGGGGGGCGCTGATCTACATGGTGCAAGCACTTTTCCTTTTATTTTTCCACACCCCCCCAGCCTTCCTTCTCCCAACTCCGCCAGGCGGGGAGGACGGATGTAAAGCAAGCTCCACTTCCGCTGCCTAGAGGGCGCTGGCCGGGCCCGGCCGCCCCAGCCTGGCTTTGCATCAGCGGCTCCCGGGGGAAGCTGCGGGCCAATCCCGATGCCCGGGCCGCGCGGCCTGGGAGCGCGGAATCCCCCGGGATCTGGACCGCGCACCAGCGTCCCGGCGGGTTGGGCGACCGCGGGCGGCGAGGGATGCGCCCCCACCCCCGGCCGCCGCCGCCCGGCCCGAACCCCTGCGGTCTCGGCCGAGGAGGTCTGGCCTCCCCGGCTCGGTCGCTTTTGCACCTGCCGCCCTGGGCGTCGCTCCCGGATCACGGGGGCGCTTCGCAGAGGGGACCGCGTCAAGCTGCGGTTGGGGGGTGGGATGCGCGGGGCGCGGCGGGCTGGGGAGAAACCCCAGCTGAGCGTCAGCGCCCGGCAAATCAGCGAAGCGCTGGGCGGGTCCCCTGCCCAGCTAGTGAAATACCGAGGACCGTGATCACGTGGATCATAAGAGTAACAGCTGGGCTCGAACGCCCACCCCCCGGGTTCTGCACACTTTATCCCGCCCTGTCACCTGGCGGGCCCCTCCTAGAACGCCGGCTGCGGGGTCCACCCCAGAGTTTCTGATTCAGTGAAGTCTGGTGGGAGGTGCGAGAACAAGCATTTCCAAGTTTCCAAGTGAAGTCCCAGTCGTTGGTGGACGCAGCCCTCCCTGATCGGTACCCGCTCGGTGGACCTCGTCTCCTACTTCCCTCGGGCTTCAGCGGCAAACCGCTCACCAGCCTCAAGTCTCCTGTGCTAGCGTTCTCTCCTTACCCACCTGCCACTCCCTACTCTCTTCGGGTCTTGATTCAAATTCACGTTCTTGGGGAGGCCAGTCGTGGCTAACCCATTCTATTTAAAAATTTTTTTAATGTTTATTTACTTTCTGAAAGAGAGAGAGCGTGTGTGGTTGGGGGAGGGGCAGAGGGAGAGGGAGACACAGAATCCGAAACAGGCTCCAGGCTCTGAGCTGTCAGCCCAGAGCCCGACGCGGGGCTCGAACTCACGTACTGTGAGATCATGACCTGAGCTGAAGTCGGACGCTCAATCCCCTGAGCCACCCAGGCACCCCCTTGGCTCGCCCATTCTAATATTGAAGCTTCCTCTTCCCTCACCCGACTGCTCCCTGTCTCTCTCTGGCCTGCCTTTTCTTTCTTCTGAGAACTTATTACAGTTAGCGTTATGTATCTGTAGTGTATCTATCCATCCACGGATCCGTGGATCTAGGAGATAGATAATTTACTTGTGTATTACCTGTTCCCCCTTACACATTCAGAAGCTTCCACGCAAGTGGGATTAAAAAAAATATCTCGTTGCTTCACTGATATATTTAACCCCAGCGACTTGGCCTAGTGCCTGGCACATAGTAGCTTCTCAGTAAATATGACTGTGTAACTAATGGAACTTCCCCTGCTGCTTCCTTTAAGGATTTGTTCATTCCTCCAATTATTTCCGTGTAAGTGTTGCAATGTGCCAGACACTGTGCTAACCCCTGGAGGTACGAGGGTGACCCAAATGATTTGGTACCTCTCTAACAGAACTTGGCGAGTGGCTAGTGATTTCGCCAACACTAAATACAGTCCTATCAGCAGTGTGATTTCTTAACAGCGATAAAGTCTCAGGAGACACAAAACCAGGCTGTGATAATGGCTGCAGGAATGGTCAAGGAAGGCCTCCCTGGGTAGCTAATAATCAAAGTGAGAGCAGGGAAGTTCTGTAGGTGGTAGGTGGGGGAGGGGAGCAAGAGCCCTGAGGCAGGAATGCGCTGGATGAGAGTTGGCCAATCCCCGCCCCCTGCACGCCTTACCACTCTCCTCTTGCTTTGCTCAGGCCGGTGCCATCTGCCATCTTGCTGTTGCCCCAGGGCCTCTGCATCTGTCCCACCCTCTGTCTGGAATCTTTGCCCAGGGCTGAATGCTTTCTGTCATCCAGGGCCAAAAGGAATGTCCCCTTCCTAGGGCGATTTTTCCTGTCTCCTATCTAAAGCATCTGCCCCTCTCGGCACTCTACCACACCACCTTCACTATACCTATCCCCAGCTAACAGGATCTAGAAAGGCCCTCCCGCTTAGGGCAATGTTTATTTTCGAATGCTTGCTTAATGTGCGCCCAGGTGCACACCTCAATCAGCCCCACCCGGATCCAGATGCAGACGATTTCCAGCCTCGCCACCCTTCCCGGTCAATGATGCCCCGGCTCCCCGAGCCCGGAGAGGTAAGCGCCCCTCTGCGTCTGTTGCCACAGACTCCTTTTGTTGGGACCAGAATTCTTCATATTTGCCTGCAGAGAAGAAACGCCTGGAGAGACCAAATTCCCAAGTCCCAGTCTGGACCTACTGCAGCTTTTCCTAGGGCAAGACCTGGTCATTTGCACGTATTTCACAAGCGCCGCAGGTAATTCTTATTGAGATAAAAGCCTGGGCTTTACCAACTGGTGGTGAAGTCTGTAGGATCTGGAGGCAGTCCGCCTGTTCCACGGCCACGTAAATCCGGGAGCTGCTTCGCGGTGACTAGTTGGGTGACCTTGGGCAACTGCTCTGTGTCTCAATTTTCTGTAAGTGGAGATAATAGGAGTAGCTACTTCATTAAGTTGTTTTTCAGAGGAAGCCGGTCCATACGTATAACGGGCTTACAACAGTGCATGGCTCGTATAACTGGGCAACACATCCCAGCTCTCATTACTTTTTTTTCTTTTTAATTTTGAAATGCTTATTTATTTTTTGAGAGAGAGAGTGTGAGCGGGGGGAGAGGCAGAGAAAGAGAGGGAGTCACAGAATCCGAAGCGGGCTCCAGGCTCCGAGCTGTCAGCACAGAGTCCGACGCGGGGCTCGAACTCACGGACCGTGAGATCATGACCTGAGCCGAAGTCGGTCGCTTAACTGAGCCACCCAGGCGCCCCTATCTATTTTTCATTTTTACTTGGTTATTATCTATCTCCCCACTGGCTATAAGCTCCAAGAGGGCATAGACCTGACTTATTTTATTAACCTTGTATTCTCAGAGCCTAGGACAGGGCCTGGTTCACAGGTGGCCTCAATACATTTTTTTTGTTGTTGAATGAACTTGTGTATGTTTCCATCAGCTCGAATTTAACCATTTGCTACTATGCCCAGCCATACTTACTCTTGTACATGTAGATCACTGCAGTGGTGTTTTTTCTGGTCTGAAACTTCCTTCTTTCCTTGTTTTTTCTTTTTTTCTTTTTTCTTTCCATGCTTGTTTTTCTTACTGTAGGAGTATTACAGGGTCAGTGTTAGAAATTTGGGGGAAAAAAACCCAGAAAAACATAAGGAAGAAAATAAAACACATTTATAATATAGTACCCAGAAATAGCATTTCTTTATTTAAAAAAAATTTTTTTTTCAACGTTTATTTATTTTTGGGACAGAGAGAAACAGAGCATGAACGGGCGAGGGGCAGAGAGAGAGGGAGACACAGAATCGGAAACAGGCTCCAGGCTCTGAGCCATCAGCCCAGAGCCCGATGCGGGGCTCAAACTCACGGACCGCGAGATCGTGACCTGGCTGAAGTCGGATGCTTAACCGACTGCGCCACCCAGACGCCCCTAGCATTTCTTTAAAAGTGAGCTCTACCTTCACTGTGGGGCTTGAACTCACAACCCTAAGATCAAGAATCACATGCTCTACTGACTGAGCCACACAGGCACCCCCAAGAAATAATATCTGATTGATAAATATACCTAAAGTCTCTTTTTCTTTGTGTCTATGTACATCTGTGTATATGTATATATGCATAAACACACACGTTGTATTCATATATTTTATAAAAATGTGATTTTAACTTACATGGCATTTTAAGCTCCCTTTTTGGGGTATGTATTATGATCATTATTTTTAAAAGTTATACAAATAATATATGGCCACCTGAGATCCCACCATTCAGAGATAACCAGTATTCACTTATGTACTATATACCTTTTTAGATTTTTCCATAGAAATACAATAGAATGAATCAAATGAACTGCTGATGTTTGTCTAATTTTAACTTAAAAATGTTAATTTCATACGGTTCAAATCAATACGAGTCACCATATTAATATTAGACTTCTGGTAGGGAATGCTGTTTATGTACAATGGTTGTCTCAAATTCGTAGTTGCAGAATGTTTGATTTGCAGCTGAGTGCATGGCCTCCTGGAAAAAGACTTTTTCCAGCCTCCTTTGTTGCCAGACATGGATCCATGACTGCATTCTCACAATGTAAATGAATTGTTGTGATGGAACTTCCCAGAAATCTCCTAAACATAACAGTGGACGTAGCCATTTGCCCCTTCTTCTTTTTCACTCCCTCCCGTCCTTGCTTGGAAAGAAGATGTGATGGCTGGAGCTTTAGCTGCCATTTTGGACTATGAGAAGGAAGTGATACTCTAGGTATGGCTGGTTAGGTCCCTAACTTCTTTGTGGAGCTGTCAGCTGGACTGCCGACTTCTGGGCTTCGTTTACAGGAGAAATGCACTTTTATTTTGTTTCAGCCACTGTTACTTGTGTGTGTGTGTGTGTTTGTGTGTGTGTGTGTGTTTCTTTCACATGCAGTGGAATCAAATCCTCATCAAACTCAATACTTTGCGGACTGTTTCATAACTGGCTTTGATGTAGAAGGGTTTTCCCAGTTTGGTTGGTGCATTAGAATCACCCGGGAAGTTGCGAAATATGCAGATTCCCCCCACTCCATTTGTGGAGACCCTGGTATAGGCGGACTGGCAGGAAGCTTGGGTGTCTTTATGCTCGACGAGCTCCTTGGGTGATGGTGATGCTCTTGGTGTGTGCAAGCTTGTGCTTCTCACTGTTAGTTTTAATGGTTGCATGATATTTTATTAGAGGATTGCATCATAATTTATTTGATGTGCTATTGGATGTTGTTAATTACTTTTTAAATGTCCTAAGTCATACGCTCAGTGGCTTTTTTATTGGCCCAGGCGAACCCATTGCCTCTCTCTGCCAGCCGTCCTGAACAGAGCGGCTATGAGAACTTGTTTCAACACCATTTGGAAGGGTTTTTCCTGCCCTTTTCTTTTCAGATCATTTTCTCAATATGGTTTCCTTCCAGATGAATTTCTGGGTTAAGGATTACATTTCTTAGGGGCACCTGGGTGGCTCAGTCAGCTAAGCGTCCGACTTCGGCTCAGGTCATGATCTCGCGGTCTGTGGGTTCGAGCCCCGCGTCGGGCTCTGTGCTGACAGCTCGGAGCCTGGAGCCTGCTTCGGATTCTGTGTCTCCCTCTCTCCCTGCCCTTTCCCCACTTGCACTCTGTCTCTCTCTCTTTGTCTCTCTGTCTCTCTCTCAAAAATAAATAAACTTAAAAAAAAAAGAATTACATTTCTTAAAAAGGCTTGGCCTGACTAGAATGCTCACGGTCTCTTCTGTTCTTACAGTTTTGACTACTTCTCACTTAATAAAATACAACCAAGGGGCGCCTGGGTGGCGCAGTCGGTTAAGCGTCCGACTTCAGCCAGGTCACGATCTCGCGGTCCGTGAGTTCGAGCCTCGCGTCGGGCTCTGGGCTGATGGCTCAGAGCCTGGAGCCTGTTTCCGACTCTGTGTCTCCCTCTCTCTCTGCCCCTCGCCCGTTCATGCTCTGTCTCTCTCTGTCCCAAAAATAAATAAACGTTGGAAAAAAAAATAAACTAAAATACAACCAAACAATGGCAAACTTCCTGTAGGTTTTAGATTTAATCCTGCTACAGGTTGGAAATCTAGACTCTAGAATAAATTTAAATCTGTTGTCAATCCCGGGGCGCCTGGGTGGTGCTTCACTTACTCCGTTAAGTTAAGTAAGTTAACTTAACTTACTCCGTTAAGTATCTGACTCTTGGTTTCAGCTCAGGTCATGATCTCACAGTTCATGGGATCGAGTCCCATGTCAGGCTCTTCACTGACAGTTTGGAGCCTGCTTGCGATTTTCTCTCTCCCTCTCTCTCTGCCCCTCCCCTGCTCACGCTCTGTCTCAAAATAAATAAATGAACTTTAAATCTATTGCCAATCCTTAAAAGATGACAAATTTCTCAGAAAAATAGGGATTTATAGCATTCTTTTTTTTTTTTTTTTTTTTTTAAATGGAGAGATCTGGCAAATCTGGGCCTGGATTATCATATGTGTATAGCAGCACTTGCCTGGGTCTGAGAAGCCTCCCCTTCATATAAAGCCCGGCCTCTCCAATTTACCCCAGTCTCCACTCCTCCCTATTACTTCTTGATATCAAGATTGAGTTTTAGTCCCCTAGATCATTGCCCTTGTGCTGCATGTATTTGAATTTACCCAACATTTCCAATATGTTTCTGATAGAAAAAGGGATTTGTCCTTTCCTATGGTTTAAATATTTCTTTTGACTAAAAATCTCTGCCAAGGAATTACCTACATTACCTGTGTTTGTCATTTAACCCTCAGAACAACAGAGGGGTAGACATTATTGTCATGATTTTATTGATGTAGAAACTGAGTCTCATAAAGGGTAAATAGATTTCCTCCAGTCAGAAGGCCAATAAAGGATGATTTTAGGTTAGAATCTTTGCGGGCAGGTAACATAAACTGCAGAAGAACCAAGATTTGCACAGTGTTTCAAAATCGATCTATAAGAATTATTTTCTTACTTAATTTCTGGAAGGAGATTTTCAGATACTTTCTTAACTTATTAAGAGAATATACATTTTTAAATCCTGGTAATGTTAATCATAACCAGAATAACAAGGTCATAATCACTGGATTAATTGTCACAAGTTTTATGAGCAAAGATAACCTTCTCTTAGCAAGATAGTTCATTGTTTCAAGTAACCGATTTTTTTCTCCCATTGTAAACATTTTTCTTCTTCTTCTTTTTTTAATGTTTATTTATTTTTGAGAGAGAGAGAGAGAGAGAGAGACAGAGCATGAGCAAGGGAGGGAGGGCAGAGAGAGAGACACACACACACACACACACAGAACCTGAAACAGGCTCCAGGGTCTGAGCTGTCAGCACGGAGCCCGACGTGGGGCTCGAACTCACAAACCGTGAGATCATGACCAAAGCCGAAGTTGGACGTTTACCTGACTGAGCCACCCAGGCGCCCCTCCCGTTGTAAACATTTTAACAAAAACAGTTTGCTATCGCGATCGTGCACAATCCACTAAAATGTAAGTTCTCAGGACAGCAACTTTTGTTGATTTTCTTCCTTACTTCATCATCTATAATAGGGCCTGGTACGTAAAAAGTGACGGACGGA